TTAGTGTTTTTAACCTCATTCGATATTTGAAAATTCGTTTTTAATTCTAGCAGTTCTTTTATTCTGTATCAATTCTCATTTTAGTCTTCACTTGCTTAACGAATTTGTGCTTCAGACTTTCTAGTCATCGTAGAAGTGCCTTTTTAATTGTCAGAAGTCATTTTTACTGTCTAAACTATCCATGTTCTAGGGATTAGACATGGGGATAGGTGGAGGCATTCCGACCACAAGCCACAACTTAACCTTTTCTGTAGATTCAACTCAAGCTGTTATGTTTTCTCAAAGCGTGACTTCGGCATATATAGCTTCCTTCTTGCTCGGTTTTTTAAGTTTGCCTATTGAAATCCGCGTTTTTGAATATTTTATTTTGATGTTGTTTTTATATATTCTATAAGGCGATTTTTCATTCCTCTTGCATTCGCTTTAGCCTGTTATGCACAATCCTAAGCCTTATTTGTTCAACAAAACCTTTATAGGAAATATTTTCCAAGTCGATTGACAGCGAACAATACGAGGAAACAACTCATTTTGACGATCGGGAACTTGAATTCCAACCCAAACCTTCCAGAGATCGTTTTGCCACAGAACGCGTTGAGTTAGATTGCATAGATAGCACAAAATCGAACGAACTGGACAAACCTGCTGTATTCAACAAAGCTGTTATCGACCGAGTGTCACCGACTATGTCCATTAAATCTACTAGCACCTTTATTCGCCAGCCACATTTTTCAAATTCATCTAGATTTATTCATCAAAACAATCATCCTTTTCGCCCAGATTCCCTGATGATCTCTCGTCCAAGCGGCATCGGCCTTCTTTCGAATCAATCTAATTTCTCCCATCTGATACCGAAGCAAATCGGCTCTTATGCCAATTTGCTTTCGGGTCAAGGAATTACTGACTTTCAAAGTGCAACGTTTTTCAATAGTTTGCCAAAATTCAATCAGCGTGAGTATTTCTTTTTGACATCATGAAAATGTGTGGGATGAATTTAAGATAAATTCTTCCGACTGAGCTCCTTCAATACTTTTAGAGTGTTTTGACAACTCTAGAGGTAACATAAATGACATTTATTGACTGGCTTGCTGATTGTCATTGAGCGAGTTGCCGTAAAAACATTAACAAGTTAATTTGCTTAACCTGGCCTGTTTATTTTCCTACATGAATCTTGGATATTGAACAAGGCTGGATATTATAGTTTCATCAACTGCAATTTTGCTTTCTATCTAAATCAACAGATCATAATAAATGGTCTAATTACCTTAGCATTAGTTTAAGCATCATTGTTCTATGTGTCCTTGTCATTGGAATCTCTCGCAATCGTTACTAGATTTCAAAATTGTTGACTATGGTTATACTAGGAATGTGTATACAATTTTCAAATGAAGATTGAGCCGTTTTTGAAATCTATATAGTAGATTAGGTTAGGATTGAAGTGGCGTCGCAATTAGCCGATGCAATTTAGAGCAGCAAGTAATTAATACAGGCTAGATTTTCAGCGTGCTTTTTGTTTAACCTCAATTCGAATTTGAAATTTTTAAATTGTTACCGGTTACTATTTACGTTTTGATCAGTCCATTTATAGATCCTTAACCTTGCTGCTTGTATTTGGCAGAAAAATCTTTTTATATTTCAATAGATGTTTTTACAAGGCAAATGCACGTTCCTTCTTGGTTTCGACTTTACAATTTTCTATCCCCTACATACTTTCATCTACAGGCAAAACGAATCGGCATTTTTATAGTTTAAAGTGTTATCTAATAAAATAAATTTCCTAAATTTACTTCCATAAGGCCTTTATTGACTAATCATATTTCTTATCCATTATCATTTTGTCCACTTGGGCCATACTAAAGATTTTTGTGATTCGCCGAATTTGTTGCTTTCGCTTTTATTTCCCTGTATCATACTTCTAAGAGCTTGAATTAAAAATAATTGATTTTGACGGTCCTATCAATTTATTTAAATTGTTGTCTTTCTAATTCCACTATGGTCATGTCTTAGTCTAGTTTTAACGTGTTTCTCTGGATCAGCACTTTGATTTTACTTCCATTGTGTGCTTTGTTTAGACCTGGGCTCGATTTGAGGCAGACTATCATAGATCAGAACACTATTTCGGGGTCAACAGGACATTGATATTCTAGAGGATTCTAAATTACTCATTTAGCTCACCTGTTGCTTCTTAAAAGGTAGCTATATCAAAACTTTACCTGAGCATCAATTTCAGCCTGCGCTAATATCCTTGTTTAGTATTTTTTCAGTTTATATAATTAATCCTGGAAATGACTATTCGATGGATTTCTTATAATTTTCATGAGACTGTGAATGGCTTTTTGGGATCAATCTTTGCATATTCTTCAATTACCTTATTTATAGACATATTCTCTTTATATACGTTCATAAGTGCGACCTATAAGTCGGGAAAATCATCTTAATTTTTTCTTTGTTTAGGCCCTCTGATGAACAGCTTTGCACCTGGTGGAGGTAATTTCTTTCCCGACCGTCAGCAACATCAGCTTCGCCGGCCTTTCAATGCTTTTACCTTCCCAGACTTTGGTCTTGGACAATTTGCCTCTGGCTTACTTGCTCCTGGGCTTATTTTCCCCACTATAACAGGGCAATCGGCCGTCAATTCACAGCCATGGCGCTCTACTCAGCCTCACTTATATGCTCCGAGCCAGATTGGCAGACAGGAGGCCGTGAATATCTTGAGTCCATTCCTTCTAACTTCTCCTTCAGTGGCTCCATCTTTTGCTTCATCAATCACTCCTAACCTTTCGACTTATTCACATCCACTTGGCCACCGTGCCACTGTCTTTTCACCAGGTCAGAATTTTCTCTTTAGACCAACTTCGGCAAGTCGTTTTCACGGCGTATTCTCTTCTGGTTCTCTTTCTGGCACCGTTCCAGGTCAGGCCAACTTGTCTCGTCATTCGAGACAGAGAGCTCCGGGACTCAGGGCTGAAAGACAAGTTGTAGTAGCAAGACAGCCATCAATTCAGCATGGCGTTTCTAAAACAAAAAATCAGGTGAGGAATTTCTTATTTGATTTAATTTGCTTTAATCTCTACTTACCTAACTATATACAACCCGTAATAGCGTATAAAACCAAAAGATAAGTGAGCAGAAGGCAAATTTGAAGCTACATTTTAAAAGCTTTGGCAATTTTAATCAATTACCCTTATCCAAAAGTTCCGTGATCCGCACAATTGCCTCTGCTGTCTAAGAAGCACCTATGTCCCTACTATGTATCTCTCGCAAGAAATAACGGGACTTTGGTCTTGAGACCATGATCCTTATATATAGTCTCGATTCTACAAGATTAAAAATATCGGTTGATTTGTTCCTTCATCAACTAGACTGATTTATCTTCATTATCCTTGTGTTTTTGTGTGATTGTGTCAGCCAAGTTTGTCCGCTCACTCTGATTGTAGTTGACTTTTGATTGAAGCTATAATTGCACTACCTTATTTCAGAGCATTTATCTTCTCTAGTCGAACCTCATTTTCACATAACACGTAGCTAGGAACGAGTGAACTCGCTATTAGCACTTCACGGGCTTGCGAGTTATGGAGTCTCTGAAATGCAAGTGAACGGGAACACATTAATGTGGCGACTCCATAATTTATTCCATTCGACTAATTACAATCAGGGCATCACGCAGACGATCACCGAGGAAATAAAGCTTATTATTATTAGGAACTCTAGAATTGTTATGAGTACATAAGGGGGCCGCAGCAAGAACCGTGGATATAGCATGCTCTGGAGGCATTAACAACATGCAAATGTAAAATCTAGGAAGAGAGCCAAGAGTTGAAATCGATAATTTAATGGCTTCATTGAAGCTAACGAAGGTTCATAGCCGAAAATGTTCCTTTTCTTTATTCCTAAATCGGCTCCGGGGAAGTCTGCCTTTTTGGAAAGTTACTGTTGTCTTCCTAATCATCTCTTCAGAGCCAAGGATTTGCCAGTTTCATTATAAATAGCTGTTTGGTTCTTTTCTTTTCTGTACTATTTCCCACCTCATCTGCAACATCAACATTATTTGATACTGGGTCGTGTGTGTCAATCGGCAGCGTTATAATTCAGCTGCAGCCACAGGTGCTAGCGACTCACAATTTACATAACTAATAGTTACAAGATTTCTTCATTCAATGAATGTATCTTTTTAACAATGCGAAGCATTGTTGATTTATTTTTTTCAAATATCATCATTCTATTTAATCCATCTAGCCTCAATCCGTATCCGCATCATCACTGGGTGGGAAACGTCGTTTACTCGACAATTCTGCTTCTATTTCACCAAGTTTCAAGCGAACTATGCCTGATCCTGGCCAGCAGTAAGTAATATCATTCTTTTAGTGCAAATGGATTTCATTTGTTTCAATCCAGCTTAGTCGAATTTATCTTCTGCTTTTATTACTATCTTATTTTGCCTATTTCTCTTTCCTTTTCTTTCATTTGTTTTAATATTGAATCTTCGATGATGCAAAAGCAACCTTATAAGGATCTACTGCTTTAAACCTACCATCTCTATTACTTTTTAGTAACTATAATTTTTACTCAATTGCTGCTTTTGAAGCACACTTCAATTCACTATAAACTCTGATAGCCTTATTTAGAGCGACAAAATACTGCGTTTATTACCATGAAAGACACAGATATTTGGCTTGAGTTTATTGATACTATAATGTGTCTTGTTACACTATATTAATAGGTTTGATTCTTAGTGTTATGAGTTCTGTTAAGCCTCTTTTTTGTTGGTGTCTATCCGAAGACAGTTTATGATAGAGCCTTCAAGGGGCAAGTGTGCGGTTTATATTTTCTAAGGATCCACCATACACAAGGGACAACTTACACTCATTTTAAATTTTATCGACAAAAATTGTATCTTTATTCTTATTTTGGAATTGTTAAGCCATGAAAGGATGAGTTTTGAACCCTGTTAATACAAATAAAGAAAACTTTTTGTACTAAGATCCTTGGTGACTTTTTCAGCCTAAGCATTCTTACCTAGGATTAATTTCTGTTAAATTTATCAGCTTAACTCCT